AATCTTACCCCACATCTCCGTGTGTGCTGCTGCTCTCTTCCGGCCACTAGTCCAATCGTCGGTGTCCGCTCCTCATCCGGTGGGCTAAATGTGCAATTCATGTAAGCAAAACAAAACATCAATGGAGTCGGGTCCTAGACAATACTAGAAATCTTCATCGATCCTGTAAGGGCAGTAGAAGATGTGCTTGTGCAAGCACGCATACGGTTGCTCCAGCATGACAACTTGCGAGTCAAAATCTTGACCCGCCAAGGCGAAGGTTGCATGTGCAAGGTTTAGGGTTTAGGGTGGAATGTCTAAAACAAAAACACACCAGAGACTCGCTGAAAACGACTAACTGCCAGCGCCTCCATTTTGCAATGCAAGAGCTCATCAGTTGCTTTCGCGTTTAAACGCTGCCAAAAAGTACCCACCAGCTGGAAGCAGATGGATAAGCTTGGATAAACTTCAGCTTAAGCTTAAACGTAGACTGCTTCGCTGTCAGTATGTGACGAGAAGCGCCTTTGGCCGTGGGTCCTTTTCAAGGACACGGGATAATGGTAGCAGGAACCCGCATCAGGCTTCTGCAGTGTGATCTCGGACATGTCCGGGGCCAGGTCTGCAACCCAAATGAATTCTGGCAAACCCACCTGCGGTAAGTCCGGGGAGCTGTCGTACACGAAAGTATAGCATGCTTTCTGCGCGGATCCTGCTTGGCAGGAGGCCCGGTCGACAACACTCCCAAGTTGATCGCCTGACCACTGGTAGTCCAACTGCAAGCTCCCGAAGGCGTTGTAGTTGACATCGTTCCTCTCGCCAGGCAGAGGAAAAGCCCACCTTCCGTTCTGAGCTGTGGTAAACACAACATCTTGCGGGGGAAACCCAAATCCGTGTTTGGGCTGCTTCGAAAGCAGATGTGCATCTTGCTCCGAGGTCAGCTGCACGGTCAGGGGAACGGCTGGGTACCTTGCGCAGACACCCCTGGAAGTGTCCGGCATCAAGGTGCCCGTGAAGGCCACACCAGTCGCCAAAGGCTGCGCCCCAGCCGGGAGCAAACTGGGCGTGGCGGCGAAGCCCCCTTGTCCATCAGAGGACACGCAGGAGGAGAGCAATGGCCACTTGAAGGTGTGGGACAGCAAGGCCGGCCACGATCGCTTCCAGACTGGAACCCCCGCCAGCTCGATGTCGATCTTCGCCCCTAAGGCAACCTGAAGGCCAAAGTGGATCTGCGCAAAGAGGCCTGCCTCGAGAGCCCTGTCGGTAGGGCAAGTCTCCGAGCCAACCGCTGCGCCCACCACCACATCCACCGAAGGCTTCAGGCCCAAAGTGGGTCCACCCAGGTGGTCGCACAGAAAAACCACCTGTGGGAACAAGTGGACTTGAAAGCCAGCAGTGGCCGAGGCCGACAGCTTTCCGGAAGGCTCGAACTTCCTCTCGTCGATATGATGCAAGGTGCTGTCCTTGCTGCTGTAAGCCACACCACCCTTCCACGAACCGTCGATACTTGCCACAGCGCGCACAGGGGCATCCTGTCCGATCTCCAGAACTGCATCGTATCCCAAGCTGATGGGCACTGTCGTGTCTATGACGAAGGGAATGCCTGCGATGCTGAAGTGCACCTGGCTTTGGCACAGATCAGCTCTTTGGCAGTTACTGCGAAAGGAATAATTTCTCGTGCGTGACCCAACCTCATCCAACTTTAGTGTGGAGATGACCGTATCGTTGCCTTAGGTGGTCAGACATGCGAAGCCAGTGAATGGTTGCGGTAACCAAACTGCGAAACATGTTTGAGGCAAGGCAGGAGACTCGCGTGGAAATACTGAGGTTGGAGGCTGACGTCGTACTGCATCTTGGCATCACCTCCGGGCCACAATTTAAGGTTTAGGGTTATGCACTCAAAGCCGCTCTCTCTCGCAAGCGGAAGGCAGGAAACACGGCATTCTCCGCCTTCCAAGTACATCACCAAATGCTCCACCTTGTAGTCTTGAATGTTCAGCTCCAGGTGCACACTAGCACCTGAGAAGTGTAGGGAGATGTCACACAAGCTATGGACGCAGAAGTTTCTAGCAGTAGTTAGGAGGAGCTGCAGCTGTTGCAGTAGCAGCAACATCACCACCATGTCCGAAGAACTGCAAACAATCACAGACATCACACTCGAAAGTGCCAAAGACTGGCCAGCAGAGCCCTGCACGGAATTGCAACAACGGAAGTCAAGGCGCCCAAGTCGAAGAAACAGTTATGACAAGTGAAGCCGTTTCCCAAGTCCAGGTCCGTTTGGGAAGCACCTATGTCAGGGCTTGCCTTGTCTGGGTTTCAATGGCTTCAACCGATGGTTATTCTGCTCGAAGATTGTGGATACCGGTCACCACCTGAGTCCGATGTAAGAGACCAAAAGTTTCATCCCGGACCTCCGGATGAAGAGTCAAAGTTCCAAGCGATACCGGCAATACTGTCCGTGGCGTCCCCAGAAAGGGAGCCTGTGGCAATGCCTTTCCTCATCATTCAGCAAAACTCAATGCCACTCAAGACTGTCGAAACCACCGCACTTCTTTCAGCAAAGCTTCACAACCGCTGCAGCCTTCTCCACCATGTGCTCTACGTCACTGGGAATGTGCTGGACTGCATGCCATGCGTTTCGGAAGAAATTTCCGATGGAACTCCAAAAGCCTCCGACAACCTGGGTTCGCGTTCGGGAACTTCCGCTGTGCAATCGAGCACACTGCGCGGGCACTGCGGCAGGACAGCACTGCACAAAATGGCTCAATCAAGCAAAGCGGCAGGTGGAGCTGTGCTGTTTCCACGCGGTCGCCGCCAGCCACAATAGCACTTACCGCCACTGTAACAGTTGTATGTCCTGTCAACCGCCGTTCTCTTGTCAGCACTCAGCCTCTTCTGCCTTCACCTGCAGAGAGGACCTACCAAATGCAAATGAGGCTCTCCAGCTGGTTTCGGATCTCTGGCGCCAGGATCTGCTTGCAGTAGTACAGAATGGTCTCCGCAGATGGATCGTCAGAACAACCACCCGACAGGGTGGCATCATACTGGCAGGAGCACTTCAGGGCACAGTCAACGGATGACACGGTATCCCACTCGTCCTTTGGGCATTGGCACACGTCTTGCGGTTCTTGCAGTCCAACGGCATCGTTGCGCACGTGCTGCTCATGAAGGACATGTCGTCCACCAGGCGTGTGCGCATGGAAAGACACATTAGCATGGCGAAACACCTGTGTGTAGTCGATCTGCTCCACGTCCAGGACCACCACCCCCTTGGCTACAACATGCCACGACCACACGGACAACACGAGTGCACCCACACGGACGTGCTTCTCCCAGCCTCGAGGCCGCGCACGCCCACAACGCGCTTGAGGATGCTCTGCGGGGCCTTGCAGCAACGTCGGGAGCAGGAAAGGAGAACCTCATTAGCTGACGATCTGACACTTCAACTGCTCTACTGTTTGTCTGCCTCCTTGCCGTTCTTGCACCCCCAAGCACGACCACCTGCCACGACCAAGCTCTGGTAGCTGCTCAGCAAGGACAGAAAGCGTTCGCGAAGTGTCGTGGCTGCACGTGATGAGATCAAATCCAACTCCATGCGTTGCGCATCCTTGGCCGGACAGGTGATGCGCCAAATCTCCTCCACATCGTCCAAGTTCACGACATGCTGCTCCTCAGCCAGCACCACAGCGTAATGCAGTTTCAAATGATGCCGTGGGCCCCGATGCCAGGTGATGTCACGGCTGGTGACTCCTGCGGGCCCACGAAGTTCCTGGACATCGCCGTACGCCTGGAACTTGGGCCGCTGAGAGCTCAGCAGATCGTCAGGCCCACAGTAGTAACTGACATTTTTATCTGCTGCAGGACACTGCTCGTTGCAAACATTGTTCTTGAAGTCATCAACCAACCATCCGGGATAATACTGCTTGCCGTGGATGCAGTCGTAAACTGCACACTCGTCCCAGTCCATCGTCTTTTGTTTATCGTGATCCGGCAAGAGGCATTCGCAACCTGGCTGATAATGGCAACCTTCGGCACTTTCTACACATTCTTGGTACAAGAATGCCCGATCACTGCCATCTCGGCATTGGCAGATGTACGGACACAACTTGACTTTGCCACCTGCAGGACTTAGCAAGGTAGATCAGGCTAACACATGCACAAAAAACTACACCCGCCTGATGCGAGACCCGACATCATTGCCATCAGCCAGAAATTTCTCATCGGAACTCCCTGCATTGCAAAACAACCTCGGCCTAGTTGCAGTCTGCGTTGGAAGGCTCGAGTGGACGACTGAAGCCAACATGGTCGCGTGAACCGGCAATCCGGCAAAATCCGGCGCGCGACGATTCAACTTTACCCAACTTGCAATGCTTCTTCTGTGAATGGTAGCTTCGCCTCAAGTTTCATGCAAAACCAAAAATCGTAAATTCTGAGTTGCTGACTTACTCAATTTGAACAGAACATAGCACTCAATGTAGGATTCGACTTGTTGCTTCGAATTCGATCATATACGTGGAGCTGGAAGCTTGACGACAAGTCCACAGCTCAATGATACACCTGGAACTCCTGATTCAACCTTTGGATCTTCCGCAGCATCTTAACCGCGGCCAGCCCACGGACGTTTTCGGTAGCCGCATAACCAAACTTTCTCAATATCAAGCACGTTGCATCGGGTGAATAATTCTCGTTGACTTACTCGAAACAACACCTACAAAGGCGAATGTGCTTTGGCTGTTAGAATAAGATAACAGCATTGAAAAGGAGAGCCATCCTTCCACAAACACAGCAACATGCCTTCGAGGTTCGAAATCCAGGTCACACAGACCACTCTTCAAATTCGAAGCAATCGTTTGTCCCTGAGTTTATTCGCTTGGCAGTTTCATGTCTCCCCACAGTGTTTCCAGTGTCGACAACCTGTGCAGCCAAAAGCACAATCAAAGGGGTCAAAACTTGAACTGTCAAACATCACGCGATTCCGACTCTCGCCCTTCCACACAAAGTTCAGCATTCCATGCAATGGACGGGATTGCGCAAAAGTTGAAATTTGAATTGTGCAAAGGGAAAGGACTGCACAGACTTTCGGATTTGAATAAAACAAACTTCGACCGCTGATTCTGTGCCTCAAAGCGGCTCTCAAGGTTGATGAAGTGTTTGGTGCAAGCAGGTGGTTCTGAATCCAAACCTTCGGCGCAAAAAGGCCACAAAATTGCCCAGCATGGAATGTGTTCTCACCAACCCCACGTTCCAACAGCTTCAGATTCTCTCAGCAAGAAAAGTGGCCTGGAAACCGGCTGCAAATGTGTGCGACTTTGCAAAAGAGTACTTGATGTGGCCTCGTCGACGGCGGCTGCCGCTCTCGGTCCAAGCTAAGAACTCAGCAGCCTGACGTAGAAACAGTAATCTGCGTCTTTTTTTTGGTTATCTGCGTCTTTATTTTTTGGGTTATCTGCGTCTTTATTTTTTGGGTTATCTGCGTCTTTTTTGGGTTATCTCTGGCACCTACTGTGTTTTCTCGCAAATCACTCGGTAATCTGCATCTTTACTTTTTGGGTTATCTGCGTCTTTTTTTGGGGTTATCTGATACCTGCTGCGTTTTCTAGCAAATCACTGGGTGATTTGCGTTTTTTTGTGTTTTATCTGCTTCCTTTTCCTTGTAAAGTTTGGATCTTAGCTCCAAAATCCAATCGAAAATCAGCTATAAACAGTATAAAACACACATACCAACATTAGAAAAGCAGGAACCTGTACAAAAACTAAGACGCATATGAAATTGCGATGCCGGTTCATAACATATCTTAAGCACTCCCCCTCATTTAGCGATTCCGGCGCATCATACATCTTAAACGCGTCCCCCCCTCATTATTGAAAAAACTGCATTCCTCAAGGCCACTCAGGTTGGTTATCCTCTAGTTTTGGATGGGACCTACCACGTTGCGGGCTGGTCACTAGGGTATTTCCGTTTGTTCTTTGGGGTCATCTGCGCCTTTTTTCCTTCGGTTCAGATATTAGCTTCACAAACCAATAAAAAAATCAGTACTGAAAAATACAAAACCACGTAACAAACTTTAGATCACAAATAATATCCATTAGACAATGAAAACCCGATATAAGTTAAACTTAAACTACAAACCAGTGGTATTCATCATATATCTGAAACACGCCCCGCGCTTGGGCGATTCCGGTTCATCATAAATCTTAAACAGGCCCCCTCATTTGGCGATTCCGGTTATCGTATACCTTAACACGCCAGACCAGTATTCATCATATATCTTAAACACACACACACCCCCATTGTGCGATTCCCCGGCTTATCATATACATTAAACACGCCCCTCATTTGGCGATTCCGGCTATCATAGATCTTCAACACGCCCCCCGATGAGCGATTCCGGCTTATCATCCATATTTAAACAAGCCCCTCAGAGGGCGATTCCGGATATCATATGCCTTAAACACGCCAGACCAATGGGGTTCGTCATATATCCTAAGCACGCCCCCCGATTGGACGATTCCGGTTCATCATATATCTTTTTACAAGCCCCTCATTTGGCGATTCCGGTGATCATATACCTTCAACACGCCGCCCGATTTGGCGATTCCGGTTCTTCATGTATCTTCATGTACATTTCAATTTAAACACGCAACATGATACATATATATCTGTAAATACATATATATATATATATATACATATATTTCAACACGCCCCTCATTTGGCGATTCCGGCTATCATAGACCTTAAACACGCCCCCAATTTTGAAACACGCCCCTCATCTGGCGATGCCAGCTATCAGAGCTATCATGGACCTTAAACACGCCAGGCCAGTGGGTTCAGCATTTGTCTCTTGACCACCCCCGCAAAGGACGATTCTGGTTGATCCTGTATTTGGTTATTTTAACACCACACTCCGCGCACGAACGTTCGCGCAGCTCACTGAGATCTGCAGCAACAAAGCGAGCGCAAACACACACATGTTTTGCGCTCTGGCATGGGGTCGAGCGACACGTCAGGAACTGAAAGAGAGATTCCGACCGACCCGAACCCCAACGGACGAACGAGACACCCTTCCCGTGCATCATCGTCCGATCGCGAGAGCAAGCGAGCGCGCGTCCGAAAACCTTTGACAGGCGTCGAGCGCACGCCCCCCTCCGACTCGAACAAGTCTTCCCAATCTTATCAAGTCCAGAACTGCTCCCAGGCCCGAACTTCTTTTCAGCGCAAGAGCATCACGGGCCACGAAGTCAAAACTGTCTTCCAACCCACTGACTCGCCGATCTCGAGGTGACTCTCGACGGCCTCTCAGCCGGGTTGGCGTCCGTAGAAACACGATCGATAAAGAAATTGATCTTGTACTCAAGAGTGAGTTTCCAAACGATCTCCACGAACACGTAGCATGGACCCATATTGCAACATTTCTGGTCTCTAAATTGCTTCTAGTTGCATTTTCTTTTTGGTAGACCGGTTTTCGCTTCTCCAAAAGAGCAGTCCGAACACCACTTTTTGGTGTCAGAACGGTCTCTCTCTGGGGAAGGTGTTCCAGTTCCATGTTCTGTGTTGGCTACAGGCCTCGTTTCGAGACCTGGGTCAGAATTCGGCACTTCGCAAGCCTGTCGATTCTGCAACGTGCGGGCCCGAGCTCAAGCAATCTCTGGGGCTCAAAAGTGCTTGCAAAGAGCCTCCAAACGGCTTTAAGGCGACCCCCAGCCAGCAACTTCGCAGGCCTGCGACTCGCAAACCAGCACTCGCAGGCTTCTGAGGCTTTCTGGCAGCTCGCAGCACTTCCGAGTCGCTTCCTAGGTACTCGCAGGCCCACAAATCGCTTCCGAGTAACTCGCAGGCCCACAAATCGCTTCCGAGTCGCTCGCAAGCCCACAAATCACTTCCGTGACGCTCCGAAGTTTGATGTACATGTCCCGAAAACTCGCAGGCCGACAAATCGCTTTCTAGCTACTCGCAGGCCCACATCGCTTCCTAGCCACTCGCAGGCCGAAATCGCTTCGTAGCTACTCGCAAGACCACAAATCGCTTCCTAGTAGCTCGCAAGCCTCCCAAATCGCTTCTTCCTGGCTCTCAAGGCCTCAGATGTTTCTTCACGGATGCCAACCCGCAGGCTGGATACTTGCCAGAGCTAGGACACTTACCCAAAATGGTGACGCGGCTACAAGGCTCTGATCCGCTCGTGCGGTCGCAGGTCCTCACCGTGAGTCCAGAAGGGGTTCTAGGCCAACCTCTCCTCTCTGAGAGGACCTTCACGACCTGGTACCAGGAAAAACCTGGTTGATCAAGCCCTTTCCATGAGCGAGCCTGGTGGCTAGGCCAAGACAAGGTGTCTGAGCCAAAGAGCTCAAGCTGTGGAGCAAAACTAGAAACTGGAAAGCCAGTGCCTGGTGTCAGTAG